GAGCTGGGGCTGATGGCCCATGATCTCAGGAGGTCTTAAAAGGAAGGCAGATGGGTCCCAGCTAAGGGAAGATCCAGCCTGCAGGAAGGAACCCTGGGGTCTGGCTGGAGGGGTCCTTGGGCACCTGAGCTGATTGGATACCCAGCTTTCTCCTAATCCATCTCCCCACGAGGGACAAGTTCCATGGTAGGTACTGTGGGTGGTCATGGCTGCTGCCCCCTCCCCCCTTCAGCTTTCTTTCTTCAATATCCCTTTCTTTGTTTCCTAAGGAAGGAACTTTGGGACAATGAATGGTCGGGTATGTACTAATGACAGTGTCTGAGCCAAGCATGGGAGAAAGGGCAGGCCACTGGTGTCATTCCTTCCATGCCTAGGCCTGGAGCTGCATGGTTGGTGGTTGGCATTTTCTTGCCTCTCTGCTTATTTCTCTTCATCCATCTTCCCCACTGCCTAAAAGGGGTATGGTTTAAATCTAGGACCACTGGGACTTTCCTTTTCTGACTGCTTCTTGTGGAAAGAGCCAAGAGGAGCCTCAGATATACCAGCTCATTGAGACAGGACCCTCTTTGGGGAGGAGGAGTCATGCGGTATCCTAGAAAGGACTGGAGGTTCTAAGCCTCATCCTCATGCCAAAGCAATTTCAGTTTTCTGAAGCTGGCAAAGCAGTTCAGCTTTCTGTGTCTCTGTTTCCTCATCTGCAAAGTGGGGATAATTATAGCTCTTACTGATAAGGTTGGAGTGAGGACAGAATCAACTAATGGATACAAAGTGCTTAGTGCCTGACATAGCTTAAGTATTCAATAAATGGTACCCGTTCTTTTTTTTTTTTTTTTTTTTTTAGTTCATGGTATGTCAGGCACTCTGCCAAGTGATTTCACACATGTGATCACATTTAACCCAGGCTACAACTCATGAGTAAAGAACAGTTATCTTCCTCATTTTACAGATAAAGAATCTACAGCTCAGGGAAGTGACTTGCCCAAGGTCACACGGCTAGCAGTGGAATGTAAGTACGGACTGTCTCCAAGTATAGGGATGTTTAGGAATAATACTAGACCAAGTATCAGACCCTGTAGATAGTTTCCTCTCCTTTCCCAAACTGGCACTAAAAGGCCCCAGCTCCAGCTATAGTTCCTCTGCCAGGATTTTTCTTCCCCCTGTTTGGGGTTTTCTTCCTATGGTCCCAAAGTCCCTACTGCCTTGCTTCTGTCTCCTTTTGGATTGTTTCCTACTCTTGGAGAAACTCTAGAGAGTAGGGACCTTTGCAAGCTATGTTTCAAAGTGTGGCAAGGGAGTGGTGTAGCAGAACCTTGACATTGGGTAGACAAACCCAGTGGGAGTACTCTTGAACCATCGAGAAGGACAAGTCTGAGCTGATAACCCTAGTTAGAGACTATGTATTATTTGTTGACTGCTTGTTATGCATCAGGTTGTGTCTCAGATGCTTTGAGAATATTATCCTTAATCCTCACAATAACCTAGCCAGGTAAGGACTATTGTTCCCTTTCTCAGATAAGAAAATCGAAGCTCAAATGGCTTAAGTGACTTGTGTAGAATCACACATCCAAAGTGATAGAGTTAGGATATGAACAAAGATCTGTCTACTTGTGTCTGTCTTCTTGCTTACTGACCTAATACAGTTGGTGGGATGAAATGATGATAAGCAATATAAAAGCATCATATTATTATTGGCTAAATTGTGAGGACAATTACTAAGGACAAGCACCCGGGAGGACACAGTACTTGAGCAGCACCTGGAAGAACAGGTGGGATTCAGATTGACAAAATGAGAGGGGGATCCCAGGAAAAGGAGACAGTTAGAATAATATCTACAATTGGTTGAGGGCTTACCAGACTGTGTTCTAAGCAACTGACATGCATTGTCTCATTTGTTCTTTACAACTGCACAAATTAGGTATTTTATCCCCATTTAACTGCAATAGAAACTAGAGCTTTTGAGAAGTGAAGTCACCTATGTAACCAACAGAGCTCCTAAGTGGCGGAGCTGGAATTCAAACCAAGGTGCTCCATCTCCAGAGCCTGTGCTAGATTCTGTTGGGAAACCAACAGCAAAGACACAAAATTGGTTGCAGGCCATGATTGGAGCACAGCCATGGGAGAGTGGGCTGGATGGGTAAAGCTATCTTATAGACAACCTTGAAAGTCAGATCCAGTTTCTATTTGCTGCAGAACAGGGTAAGAAATAGGGAGCCAGTAAAGAGTCTTGAATAGACGAATGCCACAATTCAATTGGTGTTTGACACAGTGTAATCTTAAAAGCAATGACTGGAGGAGCACCTGGGTGGCTCAGTCGGTTAAGTGTCTGCCTTCAGCTCAGGTCATGATCCCGGGGTCCTGGGATTGAGATCTACACTGGGCTCCCTGTTCAGCTGGGAGTCTGTCCCCCTTCCCTCTGCCCCCCCCACTCATGCTTTCTCTCTTTCTCCCTCTCAAATAAATAAATAAAATCTTTAAAAAGTAAAAGCAATGACTGGAGGTGGAATAAGGGGAGACTGGCTGGCAGACTGACACACTATTATGGATATAAAGTGTTAAGGGCCTGGACTAGACCAGAAGGGGTTGGTGGCAGGTTCTGTCAAGGAGAAGTGTGATTATATGAAATAGTCTCAGTGAAAATGAGAGAGAGAAAGAGAGAGAGAGAGAGAGAAGCCAGAAAGATATAAAAGAAAACTCAGTAGAACTCAGGGAGGGATTGGATGGTTGGGGAGAAGGTGGTATCAAGGCTAACCACCCAAATGTTAAACCCTGGACTCAGAAAAACTTTAGGAATCCTGGATGTAGAAGAAGGGCCCCAAATAAGAAAGGTACCCTGTTTTCTACTGTATCCTCCCTCGGTGCCTAGAAGCATAGTACATAGTACTCACATACATGGCTCATATTACTTCCATGATCTGCTTTATACACAGTTGTTAATGAGTGACTACCAGGTAATAGTAGCTGGAAAGACTAATAGTGTCATGGCTTTGTGCATGAGACTCTGGAACAGGCACCCCACCTCCTCCTCCACCAAGGTCTTCTTGTGCCTCGAGCCTCCCTGCTGAGTACTCTGAAACCCATAGTAGAACACTATAGTTAATAGTGGAGGCCTCGCTTGGCTTTCCTGCCCATAAATCTTAGCCAGTGCTGCTGACCTGTGGCTCTGGTTCCTGACCTTTGACAAGCAGCTTCCCTTGCCCTTCCTCTCACACCTCCTTGTCTGTGTCTGGCCTGTTACCACTCAACCCACGTTTTCCCCAGCAAGGCCGTTCTCCTCAGGACTACTTTTTTAGGCCTTGGGCCTCTAAAGCCTTTCACTGCTGGGATTTTCTGTGTTTCCACAGTGGGGAGGGGCATTCCCAGTTAGGATGGAATCTAGTTTAAGTCTATCCACTACTGCTCCTGGGAGGTAGAGAGCTGATTTATCTCACTAGATAACAAGATTGTTCAAAACAGGGCCCCTTATCCTAGTCAACTCTGTACCCTCAGTGTCTAGTATGGAGCCACAGTAAATGGCTGCATAAATCAGTAAAGAAGCTATCTGCTCTCTCTCCTCCTCTCTCATCTCCTTATTTGTCATTCTTTTCTCTTACTCTGTCATTCATCTATCACCCATTTCCCTTTACTATGTATTTCTCTATAATCTCAGATTTCTCTATAATCTCAGTTTTCTCCCTTTCTGTCATTTGTTTTTCTTGTTATCCTCTCTCACTCTTTTTTTTTTAGATTTTTATTTATTTTTTCGAGAGAGAGAGCACAAGCAGGCAGAAGGGCAGATGAAGAGGGAGAGACAGACTCACTGCTGATCAGGGAGCCCTATGTGGCACTCGATCCCAGGACCCTAGAATCATGACCTGAGCCAAAAGCAGACTCTTAACCGAGTGAGACACCCAGGTGCCCCAATCCTCTCTCACTCTTATCTCTATCATCCACCTGGTCCTTCTGACACCTGTCTCTTTCTTGCTTGCTTCCTTGCTTTCTGCCCCTCCCTCCTCCACCTCATCAGTCTTCTCCTCATCTTCTGGCACGACCCATGTCCTGCATGTGCTCTGCTCTTCCCCCATGTCATTCTGCCCCCACTTGCAAGGGCGACGTCTCTTCATGGGGAATATACCAGAGGAGAGGAATGGGTCTTGTCTAAGCTGGTCAGTGCAAGAGTATGGCAGCAGCCTCCAGCACCAGACAGACCCTGTGATTACATCCAGGGCCTTGGCCTCAAACCTGTTTCCCTTTAGGTACCCTTGCTGGGCTGAGCGGCCAGTCTCCTCTGTCAGCCTCACCCTGCACCTTCACCACTCTGTGCTATATTCCCTGACAGGAGTTGGGGTTCCTTGCCCCCCGCTTTGCCTACAAATGCAGGCATTTCACCTCTGTCCCCATCTTATCCTTCTCTTTCAGGGCCTTCGTCAGGTTTTATTTGTATTAGCTCTCTCACTCTCACTCATCTGTAAGCTTTCAAGGGCAGAGACCATGTTTCATTCATCTTGGTGTCCCCAGAGCTGTGCACAGTTGGTACATACAACAAATGCTTATCAAATGAACAAGTGAAAATTGGAGGATTTGCAGCCTCTTGTTGACTTGTTTGAACTTCCTAATTACTTGCCTCTTCTTTTCTTAGAGAAAAATGGGAAGACTGACCAGACTGATTTTTTCCCCAAGAAAACTTGGGGTAGCTCAGTGTTTACTGGGCAGCAATACTCATTTCCTCCACAGACACTTACTGAGCATCTACTGTGGTGTCTAGCACTGTTGTTTGTGCTTGGGATACACCCACAAGCAAAACAGCTCAGGGAAGCCAACATTCTGTATAGCCACACCTCGCCCTGAGGATGAAGGGAATTTGAAAGCTGGGAGCTGAGGAGGGCCACTAAGATTCCTATATCAGCTCCTTACAAGATGTTCTACTTCATTTAAGGGAAAGAGGGGGTGGGGGCGGAAGCTGCATGGGAAGTGATTTCAGCTCTGGTTCCCTAAGCTGACTTCCTGTCCCTTTCTTGCTGTAGGAGAAACGCCCCTGTCAGTAGGCCGCACTCATGGCATGTGGCCAAGCTGCTGGAGGGATGCCCTGAAGCGGCCACCACCATGCATTTCCCTTCTGAAGCCTTCAGCTTGTCCTGGCATTCCGGCTGCAACACGAGGTGAGTCTAGAACCCTACCCCTCAAGATGGGCTGGAGGGTAGACAACCTGGCCATGCCCCCTTTTCTGCTCTAGCGCCTGTTGGATGTTGCAGAGTCCAGAGCGCTATAATGGAAAATGGAGTGGCATTCTGTAGTCCCCGGGTTCTAGGCCTTGGCTACTTACTGCTAAATCTCTTTGACTTTGGGACAGTCCCTTTCCTTCTAGAAAATATTTCCTTGAAATACTTACTTCATGTGGCTTGCAAAACACCACACTCTCCTACTTCTCATCCTACTTCAGTGGCTGCTCCTTTGATGTATTTTCCCTTGATTCTTCCACATTCCACCCACCCCCACCCCAGTCTCTTAATGCAGGAGGGAACCGGAGCTCAGTTCTGGTCCTCTTCTCTAGCTACAGTGACTCACTGGTGATCTCATCCAGAGTTCATCAGCTCTGTCACAGAGCCAAAGCCTTCAGACTGGGCACCTCCCTGAATGACAGGGTCTACTTGCCATGAGGATCTCTCAATTTAGTGGCCTGGTATTGCCTGTTATGAAAACAACGGCCCAGAAGAGACAGAGTACTCTTTCTGCAAAAACTCAGAGTGAGCAAAGCTGACCTTTCCCTTCCACAGCAAGATCTTCCCTCTCAGGAGGAATTTCTGGTGTTGAGGCTCAGAGAAGCCATGCACCGAGTTTGCCCCCAGTCAATGACTTTATTTGGCATCAGAAGACAAGGGCTCCGTGCAGAGGTAGAGGCAATTTTGTTCTGGAAGAATACACTGAAGCATATTCTGAACTTGACTCCTGTTTGAGTAGGGGTGTGGTTATTTGCAGCAGGAAAGGCGGTAGGGTGGGTGGCAGGTTCCCTTGCCAACAAGGAATGGATGGATTCTTAGCCCAGAGGTCAAGTGAGCAGAGTGGCTAAGGGGTGAGCAGGGAGCAAGGATTAAGGAAGGCTGATCTGAGGGTCTTGTGGGCCCCTGCCACTGCTCAGTTCTTGCTTTCTGAACTGTGGCCTTTCTGAGAAGTCTGTGACCTCTGGGGTTCTAGTCATAGGGAGTTACTGGCATGACTTGGCTCACTTTGGCTTTGTTTATGGGAAATGGTACTTAAAATTCAAGATTGTGTCTGCTCCCAGTCCCTTCCTAGGTCTCCCTGGTTTGGCTTTGCTGTGGGGATGAGGAAGGGATGGGTAGGTGGCAAATCTCATGTCAACACTAGTGGTATAGAGGGCACTGATAACAACAGCAGTTAAAACAAAAAGCAAAAGAACAGCAGCTACCTCGTACTGAACCTTTTCTAGGTGCCCGGGCTGTGACAAGAGCTTTACATTTATTAACTGATTTCACCCACAAAACAATCTTCTGATACAGACATTATTATTAGTCCCATTTTTTAAGACATTATTTATTTGAGAGAAAGAGAGAGAACACGAGCAGGGAGAAGGGCAGAGGGAGAAGCAGACTCCCCACTGAGCAGGGAACCCAACACAGGGCTTGATCCCAGGACCCTGCGATCATGACCTGGGCCAAAGGCAGATGCTTAACTGACTGAGCCACCCAGGTGCCACTTATTCATCCCATTTAACAAATAGTATAGCAGAAGAGCTAAGACATTGGACTCACAAAGGCTTGGGTTCAGATTCCAGCTCTGCCTCTTTAGCACTTTCATGAGCCAGTCAGTTTACCTCGCTAAGCTTATTTTCTTGACTATAAGGTGGGGATAAGAATGTCTCCCCTTCATTTTGATATGAGACATTGTAAAGTGCCTGGCACAATGTAGGCCCTTGGTAAATGGTCAGACTTATTAGTATCGAGCAGAGAACAGGGGGTTGCCAAAATTCTGGCCCTGTCTGGGTCATGAGCCACAGCTGGGTGATCATGAGAAAAATCATCTCCTTGAAATCACTTCCTTTTGCAAGGGCTTGCTTCACTCCAGCGGTTCTCAGTAGTATGGTCTCTGGACCAGCAAAGAGTACCAGCCTCACCTGGGAACTTGTTAGAAGGACAAATTCTCAGGATGCACCCAGTTGTAGCACTGGGCGGGGGGGATGGGGCCTAGGAACCTGTGTTTGGACAAGCCCTCCCTGTACTCCCTGACATGCACCCAAACTCAGCAGCCACTGATTTACAAAATGGGCTGGCTGAAATTGAATCAACCCTTTAGAGCCCACTCTCTGATACTAATATTCTATGATTGTCTGTCCTGGCAGAGAGCCACGTGCTGACTCCCTAAGGATAGTGAGAGGCCAAAAGCAATTCTAGACTCACTGGCGGCAGGGAAACGGAACATAAGCCCCAGTGGAGTTCTTACACTTTTAGTCTTCGGGATCTTGCCCTCTCTTGCTCCCTTATGCTGTCTTTTCTCCCATTTCTACCACATCTCTGTGGTACTCCCGTGTTCTTATCTTTCGCTGTTTCCCTTCCTTCCTTTCCGGCCTGATCCTCTTCTTATTTGTGGCCTGGTGCCTCTGGGTTGTTCTGCCTTTTCCCCTGGCAGGGCTGGCCAAGGCGGAAAAGGGATCTGGTCATTTGCCTGACTAACTAGTGTGCCCTGTGTCTTGCAGTGACGTGTGTGTGCAGTGGTGCCCACTCTCCCGCCACTGCAGCACTGAGAAAAGTAGCTCCATCGGCAGCATGGAGAGCCTAGAGCAACCAGGCCAAGCTACCTACGAGGGCCACCTCTTGCCCATAGATCAGAACATGTACCCCAACCAGCGCGACTCAGCTTATAGCTCCTTCTCGGCCAGCTCGAATGCCTCTGACTGCGCCCTTTCCCTCAGGCCAGAGGAGCCGGGCTCTGCAGATTGCCTCACGCAAGGCCCCGGGCCAACAAAAGCCCCTAATGGCCGGCCCAGCATGGCCGAGACCTCAGGAGGTAGCCGGCGTACCACCGGGGGCCCCCTGACTCCCAGCTCCCAGCTGTCATCCCGCCCGCAGGAGGCCCACCACTCAGGGCCTGCCAAGGCTACCAGAGGCCCACCACAGCCTCCAGTGAGGCGAGATAGTCTGCAGGCCTCCAGAGCCCAGCTCCTCAATGGAGAGCAGCGCAGGGCATCTGAGCCTGGGGACTCCTCACACCAGAAGGAGAAAGTGAGTTTAGACACCATGCTATCCCCAAGGAACCCGAGCAGGTTCTGCTGCCTCAGTGGGCAAGACCAAGTGGCAAATGAGGGCCAGCAGAACTGTGAACTCAGCCAAGTTTCTGAATCCAGCCAGCAGGACTCTGAGCATCTACTGATGGAGGCCTCAGCCAAAGCTGTCGGATTCCCAAAAGTGTATGATAAAGCTTCCAGCGTAGATTCCAGCCAGCTCAACAAGGCTTCGGCAGAGCTAGCTAAGACTTCATCTTTTGGCAGTCCCCCACACCTCACAGGACTCACCAGGCATCGCCACAGTGCCCCAGAACAGCTGCTGGCATCCCACTTACAGCACGTGCACCTTGATGCCAGGGGCAGCAAGGGCATAGAGCTCCCAGCTGGGCAAGATGGCCATGAGTGGACTCTGTCACCTTTGCATAGCAGCCACACAGGGAAGATAAGTCCATGTCCCCCTCCCGGAGGAGCCCAGGACCAGCCCAGCAAAGAAAGAAAGGCCAGACAACTGGATGATAGGCCCTTGGGTTCAGGGCATCAGAGCCCAAGCAGTTCACCACACAGAGAGGCTGATGGACACCCTCCAGAGAAAGGTTTCCAGGACCCAAACAGAGAGTGCCGAGCAGACATTGACCTAGCCAGCCAGCAGCCCTCTGCCTCTGGCTCCCTTGTTCAACAAGCCAGGGACTGTTCTTCAACCACTAAAGGAGCTGGCAGCACAGAGGCCACTGAAGAAGGAGAGTGTGGCCGGGTGGGTGGTAGACGGAATGGAGGGCCCCGGGGCCGCTCAATCCAAAACAGGCGGAAGAGTGAGCGTTTTGCTACCAATCTGCGTAATGAAATCCAGAGGAGGAAGGCCCAGCTCCAGAAAAGCAAGAACCCCTTGTCGCAGTTGTGTGACACTAAGGAGCCTGTAGAGGAGACTGAGGAGCCCCTAGAAAGTACTCCACTTCCTGCCTCTAACTCATCTCTTCTGTCCTCATGTAAAAAACCACCTAGCCCCAGAGACAAGCTCTTCAACAAGAGCATGATCCTCAGGGCTCAGTCTTCAGAGTGCCTCAGCCAAGCCCCAGAGGGCCATGAATCGACAGGCTTGGAGGGAAAAATAAGCCCTGCCCAGAGGCCTGGCCATCCCTCTGTGGGCCTGAACACCTGGTGGAAAGCATCTGAGCCCTCCTCGTCAGACTCTGAGAAAACTAGTGTTCACCACAGAGTCCGTGGAGGTCACTGGCGGTGGTCTCCAGAGCACAACCTGCAGCCACATGTGGCACTAGCCATGGAAGGCCCTCCTAACCCAGGTGACAGCAAGGAATTGAAGGCTTCTGCTACCCAAGCTGGGGAGGAAGCCATCCTCTTGCCCTTTGCAGACAGAAGAAAGTTCTTTGAAGAGAGCAGCAAATCCTTCTCTGCATCTCATTTGCCAGGTTTAACCACTCACAGCAGTAAGACTTTTACCCAGAGACCAAAACCTATAGACCAAAATTTCCAGCCAATGAGCTCCAGCTACAGGGAACTGAGGCGCCATCCGATGGACCAGTCCTACCATTCCACAGACCAGCCATATCGTGCTCCAGACCAATCGTATCATTCCCTGTCACCCCTTCAGTCAGAAACTCCCACCTACTCCGAATGTTTTGCAAGCAAAGGTCTAGAACAATCCATGTGCTGCAAGCCACTGCACTGCAGTGATTTTGAGTACCGCAGGACCTGCTCTTACTCCTGTGGCATCCAGGGAGCCGTAGTCCATGACCCTTGCATTTATTGTCCTGGAGAGCTCTGCCCAGCTCTGAGGAAGAGAAACATGATGCCCAACTGCTACAGCTGTCGATGCCACCACCACCAGTGCATCCGATGTGCAGCGTGCTATCATAACCCCCAGCATGGTGGCCCTGAGGACAGCAGCCTGGCGCCTGGCACCACCTGGAAACCCAGGAAGCCCACAGTGCAGGTGAGGCCTTGGTTCTTGGATGGGTTTGCTTCCTTACTCTCTTGGTGAGGAGAAAGCAAGGAAGACCTTTGGAAAATACCACACTTACCATCCCTGGAAACCGTACAGACCCTGGCTTTGCCAGAGGGTGGCTTCATAACCCTGGGCAAGCCACTCAGCCACCACAACTGCAGTGAACCCATCCTGAGAGTTAGGTGAAAATAAACTTTTTTTTCTTTACAAAATGGACAGAACCGGGATTTATATCCGGACTGTAAAAATGGGTATCTGAATGACCTTGAGCAAGTTGTGCAACCACCCAAACTTGCAATCACATGATTTTGAAAGGGCATAAAGGGGAATTTTTGCCTCACAAAATGGCCAATCCTGAGAAAAGTCTTATTACCTCATCTCTAAAGAGGGGAGACATAATGGCTGCCTCATAGATCAGTTGTAAGGATCAAAATAGGCCCAGTGCCTGACAGAAAGTAGCACTTACTCCCTTCCATTTCCTGCTCACAAACTCCTTGGAGCTGCAAATTTTGCACATGTCCCCTGGGTTCTGCTTTTAGAGATTTGATCACTCTGGTTTCCTAAAGAATAAATCTTACTCCCTTCTCCAGACTATCTTTGTCAGAGACCCAGGGGTAGACTAGTTGTTGCTATACCCTGGTTACAGCCTACCACCCCAACACAGGCCACCACCATCCCCCAGGGTATTTCTAAGGGGATCCCCTATGTCCTTGCTGACTCCCTACCACATTCCTGCCCTGTGGCTTCCCTGTGTCGAACTGCTATTGCATAGGCAGACACTTATGAATGACTCAGTGTATGAAATTTCTATAGACATGTTCTTTGAAAAAGGGAACCTTAGGGGTTAAAGAAGCCTTACCAAAGGAGCATATACTATTCCTTTTATGTAGCATTCTACAACAACTCTTCGGTGGGAAACAAGTTCAAAACAGTGGCTGCCTACGGAAGGTGCCACAGAGACTGAGTGGGAAAAGGCCTGAGGGAACTTTGTCACATGGTGATTATGTTCTGTATTTTGGTAAGCGTTTGAGTTACACAGGTGTATGCATTCTTGTGCATTTCACTGGAGGTAAATTTTGCCTAAAAATATTATAAACAAATAGCAAACTTTATTTAATGACACGTATGCTGACATTTTTGAGCTATATTGATGTACACAACTTACAGTGTTCAGCATACAAATGTTGCACGTATTTTGTTATTTATCCTTAGGACTTCATGTTTTTGATGCTGTTGCAAATAGTATTGTTTTCTTAATAGCAAGTTCAAATTTACTGTTAATACTATATAGAAATACAATTTAATTCTGTATGTTGGCTTTATACCCTGCAACCTTGCAAAACTCACTTATTAGTTCTGGTAGCTTTGTGGTAGGTTTTAAAAGATTTTCTACATAGACAATCATGTCATCTGCAAATGAAGCTGGTTTTTACCTTCACTTCCGTTGTGTATGCCTTTTCTAGGGGAGGGGGGCCTTACTGCACCATCTAGGACCTCCAATACACTGTTTCGTAGAAGTGGTAAGTGTGGCTAGTGTTGCTTTGTTCCTAATCTTGCTCTATTAAGTTTGATGTGAGCTATCCATTTTTCATAGATGCCCTTTGGCAGGTTGAGGAAGTTCCTTTTCATATCTAGTTTGCTGAGAACCTTTATCAGGAGTGGTAATTAAAAAAAAATTTTTTTAAACACTTCGTCTAGGGTGCCTGGGTGGCTCAGTGGTTTAAAGCCTCTGCCTTCGGCTCAGGTCATGATCCCAGGGTCCTGCGATTGAGCCCCACTACTTCCCTCTCTCTCTCTGCCTGCCTCTCTGCCTACTTGTGATCTCTCTCTCTGTCAAATAAATAAATAAAATCTTTTAAAAAAAACTTTGTCTATATCTACTGAAATGGTCCTATAGTTTTCTGTTTTACTCAACTGATATGGTGAATGATAATTGATTGATTTTTGAACTAAGAACCAGATAGCATTGCCAGATTAAATCCTACTTGGTCATGACATAGTATCCTTTTTATATGTTACTAGATTTGATTTGCAAATATTTTGTTAAGGATTTTCGTGTTTATGTTAATCAGAGATTTTAGTCTGGAGTTTTCTTATATTGCCCTTGTCTGGTTTTCATGTCAATATGGCAGCCTTACCAAATACATTGGGAGGTGGCCCCTCCTCTTCCATCTTCAAGAAGAGTTTGCATGCAATTGGTATTATTTCTCCCTTAAGTGTTTAAGTATCATCAAAGCCATCAGGACCTGGAGTTTTCTTTGTGGAAAGATTTTAAACTACAAATTCCATTTCTTTACTAGATAGAGGTCATTTCGGTCACCTGTTTCTTCTTGAGTGAGCATTGCTAATTCATCAAGAAATCTTTCTGTTTCCTTCATGTTTTCAAATTTTCAGGGATAAAGTTGTCCCTTTCTTTAAAATACATCAAAAAGGTAGGATAGATTGGTGGATGCATAGAGGAGTGAATAGGGATGGGATGAGGTAGTTTTAGTGAAGTATTAATTGTTAAATCTAAGTGGTAGATTTATGGGTAATTGTATAAACTTGTTCAAATTTTTTGTATGCCTGAAAATATTTATAATGAAATGTTGAAGCAAAGAGGAGAGGAAATATAAAATAATGGTTAAAGGGCACTGATGCGGGAATCAGACTGCCTGTGTTCAAATCCCCCAGCTTTCCATCTGAAAAAAAAAAAAAAAAACCACAGGTAACAATACCTACTTCATAAGTTGGTTATGAGGATTAAATGATGAAACATGTGTAAAACCCTTAGAACAGTGACTACTGGATAGTACTCATCTTTGAAGTGTGAGTTATTTTCTCCTAAAATCAAGGGAGATTTTCACTTAGCTTGAAATGCTTGCTGAAAGAAGGTCCTGCAGGTAGACAGTGGAGAAAGGGGGCTGAAGCTGGGAGAGAGGAGATGATGGCTTGCGGAAGTGGCAGCCCAGAGCTAGTAACTCCATAAGGGAAGGAGGTGAAAGCTGCAGGTTACAGCGGCTGGCAGCAGCAGGTGTGCCCACACCATGCCTCTCATTTTGTACTCTGAAGGAGGGAGGACACGTTGGGCTCCCAGTGCCTGTTAGACCAGCTCAGCAGGTCTGCTTAGACACTAGGCTTTCAGATGCATGGAGCCACTTCCTGCCCATTTCTACCCCTGCCACCTGACCACAAATACATACAAACCCCAGACAGAGGGAAAACTGACAGTATGGGATAGGACACCCCAGTTCAAATGACCAGTTGTATGAGATAAGCTATAATAGGATCCCCACTTGATAGCCAGGGAAGCTGAGGCTCAGAGAGGTCACCCATCTAGCAAGTGGCAAAGCCCAAACTTGGACAGCATCATAGTAACTAACATTTGAGTAGCCACAGTGCACCAGGTACTAAGTTAGTCCTCAAAGCAGTCAGGAAATAGGTCCTGTTATTATGATGATCTGTCTGTGAAATAGCTGGGGGAAGTCGGCTAAAGAGCAGCTGGGTACTTGGCGTCACCCAGCTGGTGAAGGGCAGGTGTGGGATTTGAATCCACGTGCTCTAGCTTCAGAAACCAAGCTCCTCGTTGGGCTATACTGCCTCTCCATAAGCTGACGGAAAAAGCCCAGGCCTTCTCCAGCATGGCGGGATGCCTTCAGGCCGTATGGCTTCCAAAGGGGGCGGCAGGCCATCCCCATCTGCAACAAGCCATGGGGATAACTCCCTTGTTGGTTCAAAGAGGGCAGGCAATTTATGGCAACCTAAGTGGCTCAAGGGAAAAAAAGGAAGGTGATATGCTGAGGAGCTGAGAAGGAGGCTGTGAATTGGGACAGGACTTTGTTTGGTTTGGCCACTGCTATTTACTGAGCATTTTCCACAGGGCATGGACAGGAAATCCTGGCTCCCACTGTGACTGAATGAGTAATAGTGTCTTTGAGGGCAGGGACATCTCAGAAGGGCATCGAGGCAGAGCCTGAAGTCTAACAAGTTGTCAGAGCTGCTCTAACATGACAGGTACAGGCAGGGAGCACTCTGGTCTTGGGAAAGCTGTAAACCTCATCTTTTCCATGGCTTCTAACATCTACAGCCTCCTACGTGCTGAGTGCTGTTAGGCATCCTCTGTGCACATCCCACTTTGTTCTCACTCCTGGGAAGCTGGCAAAGTTTGATAGCACAGTCTTTGCCAGATAGGAAGCTGAGATTCAGAGAGGTGACATAACTTCCCTCATATAACACAGCTAATAAGTGTCTCGGCCAGTATGACTGACACCAAATATCTTACCCCAAAAAGGGAGTAAATTTTCACTTTTGTTATTGTTTTACTGGGGCAAAGGTAATACAACTTTGAACAGGACCAGTAACAGCATTGGAAAAAGAGGGAATTTGGAAGATCAGTGAGATTTAGGAAGGATTGTGCATTCCTGATGAGCTAAGCTCTGAGTTGCTAGATAGAGGGATGCTGAATGCAAAATTGGGGAGAATGTGAGAGGCAAATTTGCATCAGGTTTGGAGCTAGAGTAGGAAGGAAAGGACATTTTTTACAAATGGCACCCGTAGGTTGGCTACAGGGTAAAGGACTGCTTTGGCAAAGCCCTTAAGGATAGAATGCCCAGGGTAGAGTGTGTACTCCCATAATGTGGAGAATGTGGCACGTGGTGATTATGCTCCCCAGAGATGAACCCGCCTAGGCCCCTGCCAGTGGTGCTGGGAGGAGGAGGAGGGGGAGGAAGGGCCCGTGCAATGCAGGGGGTGCGCTTGTCCTCTCCATCTGCCTCACCCTGGGAGAAGGTTGCAGCAGGAGCCTTGGGCCTCAAAGCTCCCTCAAGGGCCAGGGCTTCCAAGAAGATGCTTTCTATGTTAGAAGAGGCAAGAGGAGTGAGCAGGTTCACCCGGCAGAACAAACAAAAAGACCTCCTTCACAAGGGCCAGAACAAACAGCAAACGTGCTAAACTGGTTTATAAGGTGGTTTGGGAGGGGAGTGGAGAAAGAGAGGGAAACGCAGAGTTTCTAGAGCACACGGTCCAGGTCCCCGAGTGCTCTCTTTAGTCTCTGCATGCCCCCAGCACTTCACCGGGCCTCCTTACAAGAAAGGCAGCCCTCCAGGTACATGTTTCTCTAGCCTCTGTGCCAGAGTAGAAGAAACCAGTTGGGGGTGGGGCATGTCCAGGGACGGGCTCCTGCCCTCTTTACATTTTTGAGGCCATCTGGATACCTGTCTGCTCAGAGCTCCCTCACTTATTGGAATTTTGCCTTGCAGGAATTTCCTGGGGACAAATGGAAACCAATAACAGGAAACAGGAAGACCAGCCAGTTAGGGAGGTAAGTGATCACTCAGGGAGTTGGGGCAAGTTGGTGTCTCTGAGGCTTCTGTAGAAGTTGCTAAGATCTTGTGTTTGCTTAGTTTCCTTTGAGGAACCCGGCCTGGTGTCCATACCAAGAACTTGGTACCATAGATGTAATCTAGCCTGCCCTCCAGGCAGCTGGGCTACAAACCACTAGGACACTTTGGAACATGGAGTAGTCAGGCATTATTGTAGGACATTGGGCCCACCAGCACAGAGGCCTGCGGCAGGCCTGCCCAGGCACAAGGACGTGTGGGAGCAGATCATGCTGAAATATAGATAAGAAGGCATAAACGATGTCCACCTTCCCAGCAGCCATTGGGCAATTGGAGAGAACAGAGAGAAGGTAAGACTGTCCGGCTACCACTGTGCCTTTGCCTCAGTTGTAGGAGGCACTTATTTCTTGGGCTCAGCTATCATCTTTTTCTAGTACTCGCTGGGAACTTAATTAAGATCTGCTCCTGAGAGTCCAGGGGCAGGTAGTGCTAATGATAGATTAAAATTCCTGGAAGAAGGTAGGGACATTTTTGCAAATGGCACATATGGCTTGGACTAGAAGGAAAAGAGTTTCTTGGGCAAAGCCTTTAAGAGAAAAAAAAAAATGCCCAGAGTAGAGTCTGCTCCTATAATGTGGGGAACCTGGCACCTGAAACTCATGTTCCCCAGAGATGAGCCTGCCTGCCATAGGTGGCTATAAGGAGTGGACAGTTACTTTCTCTGGGCTGCTCCCCATCAGCCTGGCAGGACCCTCTTTTTTGTGAAACTCCTTAATATATTCATTTAGCCAGTTCTTCTCCAGGCCAAATTATTCAAGACACCCCTAAATAATATTGATTCTTTAAGTGAAACTCTAGAAATGAAGGGGGAATAGGGAAGAAGGCCCTTAGCTGTGCCTGTGTGGAGGCACTAAGGGAGAGGACTAGAATATGGGTCTCTTGACCCCTGAAGAGCCCTGGGTTCTTTCTGAGGGGGTCTGCATTATCCCCTGTGATTTGGTGGGATATTCAGGAATAATTTGGGCTCTCTGTTGACTCCAAAGACTGAGAAACCTGTCAGTTTTCTGGTTGGCGATAAAAAAAAAAAGGGGAAGAACGCAACATTTATGAATAATGTGTCGGTCACTGGGCTGGACCCTTTTTAACTCACAGTCTCATTTATTCTCCACAACAGTTCATTTTATTACCTATTTCATAGATGAGGTCCAGAGAGATTATGTAATTTAGCTGAGGTCCCACATCTAGTTAGCAGTGGAGCCAGGATTGGGACCCAGGTTTGTCTGGCCCCAAAGTTTATGCTTTTCCCCTTAAATCTACATCAAGTAGGAGCCCTAAGGAAACTTTTCAAAGGGATCCCTCAGCCTCATGTCTCAGAAGTCTGAGGTCTGTGCAGGGATATTATGAGACTCTGTGGCTGATCAGATCCCCTGATCTGATCTGACTTGTAACATGTCCTTGGAGAGACCATTTCAGTCTGGTAGGTCTGCTGAGTTTCCCACATTAGACTGAAACCTTCGAGAGAGGAGACCTGGTCTTGGCTGTAGACTTCTCCTCAGACTTCTCCTCTGTGCCTAACATAGTGCCTGACCCAGAGAATTTGGTCAAGAGGTATTTGTCATTGGCTTACCAACTGAAGAAACAGCCTCCTCCACCACTGAATGGGTGAAATGACACAAAAATGATAATGCTAACTAGCATTTATTGAGCACAGTGCTGTATTGTAGGCACCATTCAAAGCACTTCACAAATATTTACAGCTGACCCTTGAATGACACAGGTTTGAATCGCAAGAGGCCAATTATCACGGGTTTTTTTTTCAACGAATACAATATGGTACTATGAATATATTTTTGTTATGATTTTCTTAATAACATCTTTTCCCTAGCTTATGTTATCATAAGAATATAGCATATAATACCTAGAGCATACAAAATATGAGCTAATTAACCATGTTATCAGTAAGGCTTCCAATCCACAGTAAGCTATTAACAGTTAAGTTTTTGCCAAGTCAAAATTTACCCATGGATTTTCAACTGCATAGGAGAGGAGGGGTGGTGTCCCTACCCCGCCCCCCATTGTTCAAAAGTCAACTGTATTTATCATCATAACCCTAAGGGATAGTTATTATTAGACTCTCTGTTTGACGGAGAGAAGAGACTGAAGCATACACAGGTAAATTCATTTGCCTGAAGTTCCACAGGTCTGGTAAGTTGACTAGACCCAGGTAGCCTACTTATAGAGACACTAGACTAACCTATAGTGCCTCTCCAGACTGGTTCTCTTACCAATAAGCCAGTGAAGGAAGAGGACTTTATTCAAAATCTAGTGTATGTACTGCCTTTTTCTAGGCAAGCAGGGGGAATGTTAGAGAAAGAGCATCAGGAAGCACAATGCCTGTCCACCCACAGCTTGAGCAAAGGAAGACTAACCCACACAAAGTTAAGTAGCAGTAATAATAAATTACCACTTACAAAACGACCTATGTGCTGCCAGCTAAGTTGTACATATTACGTTATGTTTTATATGCCCCCCAACTCTGTCAGGTTGGTATTATTCTAACTACAGCAGTGGTTTTCAAACTTGAATGTGCTTTGGAAACACCTGGAGGGCTTGTTAAAACACAGACAGGTAGATTCCACCCCTACCCTCCCAACCCCTGCCAGTAGGTATGGAGTAAAGCTCAAAATTTGCTTTTTTTTTCATTTTTCATTTTCATTTTCATTTTTAAATTTTACTCTGTTATGTTAGTCACCACACAGTACATCATTAGTTTTGGAGGTACTGTTCCGTGATTCATTGTTTGCATATAACACCCAGTGCTCCATGCAGTACGTGCCATCCTTAATACCCACCACCAGGCTCACCCATCCCCCCAACCCCCTCCCCTCTAAAACCCTCAGTTTGATTCCCGGAGTCCATAGTCTCTCATGGTTCATCTCCCCCTCTGATATCACCCCTTTCATTTTTCGCTTCCGTCTCCTAATGTCCTCCATGCTATTCCTTACTTTCCACATATGAGTGAAACTATATGATAATTGCCTTTCTCTGCTTGACTTATTTCACTTAGCATAATCCCTCCAGTTCCATCCATGTGATGTAAATGGTGGGTATTCATCCTTTCTGATGGCTGAGTAATACTGCTTTGTATATAGGGACCACATCTTTATCCATTCATCTGTTGAAGGGCATCTCAGCTCCCCACCCCAATGATAGAGATGTAGTAAAAAAAAAAAAAAAGGGGGGGGGGCACATGCACCGCAGTGTTCATAGCAGCAATGTCCACATGGCCAAACTCTGAAAGGAGCCAAAAAAAAAAAAAAATTACATTTCTAACAAGCTCCACCAGGTGATGCTGACGCTGCTGGTCCTGGGGTCACACCCTGAGAACCACTGACTTGGATAAAGGACATGAGGTTCGGAGAAGTTATAGTAATTTAGTGAAGGTCTCACAGCTACTAAAGGGACAAACCAGGATTGAAACCCAGCTCTTGCTTAACTCAGATGAGTTGCCATAAGATGAAAAATGTCAAATACATGGTTCAAACAAGAAGCATCCGGCACGTGGTATGGGGCCAATACATGATAAATTGTTCTCTAAGTTTTTTGGAGGGTAAGAAAACTAAAGACTGGGACCTACGGGAGGAAAGACCCAGAGGGGCTAAGCAGAGTATGTTGAAGAAATACACTTAAGAGTTCTTGCCTTGGAATTAGTCTGCCTGGGTTCAAATCCAGATTCTTATTTTCTCTAGCTGTACGAACTTGGCAAGTGGCTGGTCCTCCTTTACTCTCCCTGTCTCTCACACATATGTGCTCTGTCTCTGCCCCATCAGCTTCCTTATTTTTTTTTTATTTTTATTTATTTATTTGACATAGATAACAAGAGAGAGAAAGCCCAAGCAGGGGAGTGGCAGGCAGAGGGAGAGGGAGAAGGCTCTCCACCGAGCAAGAGGCCTGATGCCGGGCTCAATCCTAGGACCCTGGGATCATGACCTGAGCTGAAGACAGGTGCTTAACTGACTGAGCAACCCAGGCACCCCAGTTTCCTTATTTGTAAAATGGGGTTAGAGTACCTACCTCCTCTGATTGTTGCTAGAATTAAATGACAAATATGCATAAAGCATTTGGAATAAAACCCAGCGCAGTAAACCTTCAGTAAATGGTAGTTGTGACAATATAGATGAAGAAGGGGGAGCAGCAGCAGGAGCAACAGCAGAGAAAAGGAGTGAATAGTGAGGTTTGGACCAGGATAGGTAGGCCTCAAAAACTATATAGTATCACAAATACAGAAGCTATTGAAGGTTATCAATCAGGTAAGTGATGTGGTAAATGTGGCACTTGAGGCAACTGGGCTGCCTTTGCAGCCTAGATAGGTTGAAGAAGAACAGCTAGGGTCAGTGATCCAGGCATGAATGAGTATGGCTCTGGACTGGGAAGGTGGAGGTGCAACAGGAACAAAGAGAAGAGCTAGATAAATATGTGCGATATTTTGGGGAGAAAATGTTTATTATGAGAACTATATTACAGGAAATTAAAGACAGAAGAAAAAGTAGCCTTAGTCCTACCACCCTAACACCCTGATTGTTTTCATTTCCCTACCAGCTTTTATCTATAGGTATAGAGACTTTTCCTGGCAGAGTTATAATAACTATGTAGATGTGATTATGTGTCCTGCTTCTTTTTTTCCACCACTAAGCATCACTTGGTAAACAATTTTTCAAGTTGATATACAGTCTTGTTCAATAGTTATAAATTTTAATGGCTGCATATTTCACCAGCTTAATGTGCTGTAATTTACTTAATCATTCTCAAATTGTTAGATAATTAGGTTGTTTCCAATTTCTTGCTATTATAAAGTAATGCTGCAGAAAAATTTTGAGTAGTTATAATCTTTTTCTCATTTTGAATTATCTCATTAAAAACAATTATCCAGAGTTGGGATTACTAGTTGAAACAATATGAGCATTCTTTTTGTTCGTGATAG